GCTAAGAAGTTTCCTTGGCATGGCCGGATACTACAGAAGCTTCATTGAGGGGTTTTCTCTGATTGCTGCACCATTGACAAAGTTACTGAGGAAAGAGCAATCTTTTATATGGGATAATAAATGTCAATCTAGTTTCGAAGAGTTGAAGCGGAAGTTAACCACTGCACCAGTTCTTGCCCTTCCCTCGGGAATGGGAGGTTATGTGGTATACAGTGATGCTTCGCATCAAGGGTTAGGATGTGTTCTCATGCAACATGGTAAAGTAATTGCTTATGCTTCCAGGCAATTACAACCGTATGAGAAATCTTATCCGACTCATGATTTAGAACTGGCGGCTGTGGTCTTTGCTTTAAAGATTTGGCGTCATTATTTGTATGGTGAGACTTTTCAGATCTTTACTGATCATAAGAGTCTCAAGTACTTGATGGAGCAAAAAGAGCTAAATCTTTGGCAAAGGAGGTGGTTAGAGTTGTTGAAAGATTACGACTGTACCATCGAATACCATCCAGGCAAAGCAAATGTTGTGGCAGATGCTTTGAGTTGAAAGACCAAGCATCGTACTAGAAATGAGGAGACTGGTTTAATGGCAAATTTGATTTCTTTGAGAGCTATGAGTGTTGAATTGGAAATGAATTCCGCAGGAGGGTTATTGGCCACTTTACAAGTGCGACCAATTCTGAGAGAAAGAATTATTAAAGTGCAGGATCAAGACCCTGAATTGAGGAAGATTATTGATAAGAGTCGTAAAGGGGAAGAAACTAAATTCACACTTCGAGATGGCGTTCTGACACTAAACGAAAGACTTTGTGTTCCAAATGTGGATGAATTACGAAGGGAGATTTTGGAAGAAGCTCATTCCTCTCCTTCTGCAATGCATCCTGGAACGACAAAAATGTACCGTTCGTTGAGATCTCATTATTGGTGGCCAAGGATGAAGAAAGAAATGGCTGAACATGTCTTGACATGTCTGGTATGTCAGAAAGTGAAAGCTGAACATCAAGCCCCAGCGGGAAAATTGCAAACACTGTCCATTCCAGAATGGAAATGGGAAAGGATTACCATGGACTTTGTCTATGGTCTACCTAGGACTCAGAAGAAGAACGACGCCGTTTGGGTTATTGTGGACCGATTGACAAAGTCGGCTCACTTTATACCCATTAGATGGGGTTGTTCGCTAGAGTTACTGACAAAGAAGTATGTGGAGGAGATAGTGACACTACATGGAGTACCAGTATCCATCGTCTCTGGCAGAGATCCGAGGTTCACTTCTCGATTCTGGAAGAGTTTGCAAGAAGCACTAGGTACTCGTCTGAACTTTTCAACCGCTTTTCATCCCCAGACCGATGGTCAATCCGAGCGAACAATCCTCCCTCTTGAGGAAATGTTGCGAGCTTGAGTACTGGATTTCCAAGGTTCTTGGGATGAACATTTGCCACTGATTGAATTTGCTTATAACAACCAGTACCATAGTAGTATTGGTATGGCTCCATATGAAGCTCTGTATGGAAGGAAATGCAGATCCCCAGTGTGTTGGGATGAGGAAGGGTTACAGCAATTGGAGGGACCTGAAATCGTTCAGATGACAGTGGATAAGATTAAAGTGATCAGAAGCCGATTGAAGGCCACACAAAACCGGCAAAAGAGCTATGCTGATATCCACCGAAGAGAGATGGAATTTCAAAGTGGAGAGAAAGTATTTTTGAAAGTGTCTCCTTGGAGAGGTGTTTTGAGATTCTAGAAGAAAGGTAAGTTAAGTCCGAGGTATATCGGACCTTATGAGATTCTGGAAAAGATAGGTCCGATAGCCTATCGACTTGCCTTACCACCAGAATTGTCTCAAGTTCACAATGTCTTCCATGTGAGTTTGCTTCGAAGATACTGATCGAATCCGTCTCATGTACTGGAACCAGATGAGATTGAGGTCCAGAAAGATCTAAGCTATGTGAAGGAACCAAAAGAGATCGTGGACCGAAAGGTGAAACAACTTAGGAATTGAAGTATTACTATGGTGAAAGTAAATTGGAAAAGCCACACTGGAGAAGAAGCCATGTGGGAGACGGAAGAAAGCATGAGAGCACAATACCCCTACTTGTTTCAAGGTAAATTTCGGGACGAAATTTTATTTAGAGGGGAGGAAATGTAACATCCCTACCCTCGTACTATTATTACGTTATAATTACGTGGTTGTGATTGGGTTACAAAAATTGGTCTTTTGAACCGAAAAGTAAGTGAATAGTTGAGTTTTGGACTTAACTGTCAGGAAAGGAAAGTTGGGGAACCTAAGTGTAAGATATGGATGGTTGGAGGATTGAAGGGGAATTTTGGGGAGATAAAAATCTGCCCCATCCCTCTTATCTCATCTTCTTCTTATCTCTTCCCCTCACTCTCTCCCACGTCACCCTCTTGATCTCTTTCTTCCACTTGAGTTCACCACTAAAAAACTACCATCCCCCTTTCAGAAACAAAGAGTGGAAGCTAGAAAGAAAAGTGTATCAAGGAGAGGAAGAAGAAGAAGAAGAAGGAAGCAAAGGGGGTGCTGCCAATTTTCGTCCAGCAGCAGGACAGCCTGTGAGAAGGATGATTCCGGACAATCAAGGCGTTGGATCGTCCTGATATTTGTAGTTTGTGTTTCATACTTCTTTGTCTACGATTTGACCGTTGGGATCATCGATATGATCTCTGGTTCATCGAGGAAAGTTGCTGGACAGAAGTGGTGCGATACTGTTTTTCTGTATCAGGACAGTAAATTAGAGGTAAGATCCTGTGCAAAGTAGTCGTTGGATCGTTCTAGAAATTTGGTATAATGTTAAATATATAAGGTTCTTTGAGTTGACCGTTCAAAACTTAGTTTTGATTTTGGAGTGGTCGGGAACAATTGTTAGAAGTAGGGGAGTTGGATTGAAGTGAGAAGAAAGTAGCTGACAGTTTTGAAACGACAATTTAAAATGATTGCTGGGATCAAAATGCTGATCTAAATGGTCTGAAATTTGGATATGTTGTAGCCCTATGAATCTAGTTTTAGTAGAAACAAGAATAAACTGATTTGGTTAAGTATCAAGGGAGAAATGATCAAAATGATGAAGCAGGGTAAAGTGTACAATCGTATGACTTCCCTAGTGGTCTTATCGACATGCATGAATACAACCATGATTATGATGATTGTATACGTGTCTTGGTGCTTGAATAACCTGGAAAATTTGTATATAAAGGTAAGGAGCAAGCTGGGGGCTCACCCAAACGCAAGGGCATAGCCGAGTGAAGATAAAACAGTGAGTAGATTCTAATCTTAGATCTACTTCAACATAATCACATTATTCGGGTCATAAAGCGGCCTGTATACATATCGGGGTCATGAAGAGGCTCTGGTATAATATGAGAATTTATGGGAAATGATATGGCTATGTGATATGGCTTATTTGTGTTTATTCATTATCTGCATTTGGTATGAAGTTGGAAATGCATGAATTGTGAATGGGATATGGAAAGATATTTTGTTGATTTATTGTGTGGATTATGAGTAAGTATTCAAACTTGCGAACTCGTCTTATCTGTTTAGATTTGGAGTAAGCCATTAGGCTTACTAATCCTGTTTTGCTTGAATAACTCCGAGTCAGCTCCTCAACTTATATTCCATTCTGTGGTGACTGAGGGTGCAAAGGCACTATGAATGCTTTTGAGCCTATAGTGTCTAAGTGAACTATTAATGAAAAGAGGTGAATACATAAGAATAAGTAAAAAGGCTTTATGATACCTCGGTACAGTAGTGTGTCCTGTTTGTATCAATGTGGGTAAACCCCACGATACTCTTGTTTGAGCACTCGTGCTTCGCACCGTGCCGATTGGGTGACGACCCACGGTACTCCTGTTATGTTCAGTTAGCCGGGCTGGGGTAATCCCGTGGCGACTCCTGTTTTTGTATCGGTCCGGGTTGTGTCCCGCGATACTCATGTTGGTGCGAGCACTCCTGTTTCGTGCCTTGTGCACTCCTGTTTCATGCCTTGTGCACTCCTGTTTGTACCGGATGAGGTTTTGTTCCGCGGTAATCAAGTTATCTGATGGCTGTACATGGTTATCCTGCAGCCTTCCACTACTGTACTACCCGAGGAGTATATCATTTAGCAAGTTTGAAAGTGAAATTGTTTAAGCAAAATGCCTCTATTTGTCATCTGTTTTATGTGTTTTGACTGTGGAATGTGAGCTTGGGAACTTGATTGATTCAGTAAAATGAAAAGTGTGACAAAACAATTTAAGTCATGTTATGTGCTAGGGTGTTTCTGCCAATACTGTTTTTGTATTGATGTCCATCCGAGCTTAGAATTTATTCACTGAGCGACGACTCATCCTTCGTCATCATTTTTCCTCAGATCAAGATCAGAAGTAAGGTCTGTACTGCAGATATCGGGACTCAAGCATGAAGGGAAGCCATGAGGTGGGCGGAGGACTCCGAACTCCTTAAATGTTTTATGTTGTGTGGATTTTGTAATAAAGCGGACTTCCCCGATTTTCTGTTTTGACTCTGATGAAAATGTAAATTATGGTTTGAAGTTTGGAAAATATATATATATATAAAGCTCGGGCCCAAGAATGTTTAAACTCGATGTATTTTTCTGTTTCATTTTGTAATATAAAGTAAGGGTTTTACAGTCGTCGGAGAGATTTTGTGGTTGTGAGAGGGTTTCGTTATCGAGAGAGGAAGGGAAGAGAAAGCTTTTTTGAATTTTGGAGAGATGAAAGGGATGAACAAAATGGTGGAGAGAGAAGTGAAAAGTGGTTTTTATTGAGAAAGTGGCTGAATTTGAAAAACGTGGGTCCATTTTTCTTGACAGGTGGAATGGGGCTTGATTAAGCTGAGCTGGTCAACCACTCCTTCCCCTCAGATGCTGGCGCCGATCCTTCCTCACCCTCAAATCGCGGCTCGGCCACGTGGGTAGCAATCCCACCCTATTAGTATATACTACCTCTTTACCCAGTTAGCAGAATAACTAGATTGCTTAGTTCGACCGAAGTCCGGCAATTGATTGCGCCAAATTTGGGTAAAGTTCACTCACAACCCACACAACCCGTGCCACTACTTCAAGAGGTAGAGATTTCGATGGAGGAGAGGATATTGGATTCCAACGAAGATGGTCTACTAAACGTTGGTAAGACTCGAGTATGCTAATCTCGTCAATTTGTCTGTGCATTCGTTCTTCTTTAATTTTGTGTTTATTCTCATACCATTATTATGCCCTGCCGCTTTTTCATTTAAGTTCGGTTTACTTTGAGGATCTCTCTAGGGTTTTAGTTCATGGTTTTGTGAGGTTTGATTTTGGGCTTTTCTATTATAGAGGATTCATAGTGATTCTCTCTTACTTTGAGTTGCAAGTAGAAGTGAAAGAAGAAATTATATGGACTTCTATTGATATTTAGTATTTCTTATGACTTCCAGGTTGGCCTCGACACAGGCGTCCTCTCCATTTCAAGGTTCCCTAGTTCCTTGTTCATGTTGCATGTAAGAAGCTTACTTTAGCTATGTTTGTTTCTTGTATGATACCCCATATGAAATTTTCATTGGAGGATGTAAGAAGTTTACTTTTTGGATGTTGTATAGGGATGTCGTTTTCATCGTATCATTAAAGGGTTCATGACACAAGGTGGAGACATTGGGGATGGTACTTGTAGGGAATCCATTTATAGGTTGAAATTCAAGGATGATAATTTTCAACTAAAACATGAGAGAAAACATAAGTCGGAACTGATATTGTTTCTTTCTCTTGTGGATATGTAGCCATACTGACAAAGCGGATTGTGACTTTTCAGGTGTTCATACAAGGTAATAGCTGCTGTAAGAAAGAGTGTAAATGGGTGTCGGTGTAGCTCGCGGATTAGCTCATTGACACCAAGACTATAAATATCTTTATCTCTTAGTCTATTGTGAATCCTTAATTGCATGCCTACTATGCTATTGGTCTCTACTGTGATGAAAGACAACAGAAGGCATTAGTATGTTGCAGGAACAATTAGAGACTTACATTATTGTATTTGGAGCATGTACTTATCCATCTAATCTCTTTGGTATCCAGAAGACCACTCGATGCCTTTAGTAAACTTTAGGCTGTTGTTTTGATGATAGCAGCGTCTAATGTCTATGCTTGGAAGTTATCATTAGTTAAATGCATAAGTTCCAAAAGGGGGGGTATGATCTTTTTCCTTTTGTTTCGGTTGCCTGATTTTAGTCTTTTTCCACCTTTGTTATTCTGTACAGGGGTTGGGAGTGGTTCTCTTCCTGTTTGCAATTGTAGCTTGCCGCAATGAATGACGTCGTTGGCAAAGTTATGACACATCTATTGATCCTTTTGTTGTGGTTGTTCATGTAAAATACAAGGTAAGTTCGTTGTCCATTTGAAGTACTTGGAATGCTGGTTCTTTCTGGCGCTTTTAGTTTCCATGGGTTCAAAGGGTTTCTCTTAGATATGAAGTATTTTATACTGGTTTTTCTGCATTACAACTACGGATTGGTAGTTTAGAAACTTGACAAGCTGAAGAAGAATCATATTAGTTGTCTACTGGAGGCTTACCACTAAAATCAGAAACCAGATTTACCTATCAGTAGAAAGTTGTTAATGGGCTTGTTATATGGGCAGGATTTTATGAATAAAGGGTATTTTTCTGCTGGTATTATCATACAGAAAGCTAAAGAGGAGATGTCATTCAGCTATGTTTATTGATGCCCAAAACAGATACATGTATACTTTGTGTCATCTCTACCTCAGTATTCTTCACGAGTAGTGCGAATCTGTGCAAAGATCTTTGGCCTTTTCTTGAAATTGGGTTCTCTTTCATCTCTTGATTCACGAGCGAGTTATTTAGTGGTTATTTGTTGCATTTTGTTTTTTGTGATATTAGATGGTTGAGGCAAGATTATTTTTTAAGAGATTGAAAGACTTGGGCTTAGTGAGAAATTATCGACACAATGTAGTTACTACTGCGATGTTTTCTTTGTTGGGGTTGGTTAGTGGTGTGGATGGAGTTTCAGTTCCAAGTTTCTATTTAGTGTTTGTATCTTTGCAACTACTATACAGGCTTACCCAAAAGGTTCTGATTGCATCCTTTCAAACTGGTTGTTGGAGGTCCATGTTTGATGGAGTTTTTAATTTGTATTTGAATGGTGAGTAAGTGGTTTTGAAGTACGGGTCTGCTGCACTTTTCTCTTCTTTGTTTCTTGATGGCTTTGGGTTGTCTTCTACCACTGTGATTTTGAATTTGGTGAAGTTGGGATCAAGTAGGTGAGGGTGGGTTTGAAGTGTAGTGCCGAGAAATACAGGGACTAACTTTAATTATGAATTCTTACTATGTTTTTCATGTTGAAGAAGACTTAATGCTGGGAGTTTATTAGTATGGAAGCAGCTACAAATACAAGCATTTAACTTCTACAAGCATTTAACTTCTGGTAAGTTCTTACAAACCAAAACAGTACAAATAAATTGCAGCAGTAGACATGTCTACTGCTTTTAAACTCCTGAACTGAGTCCAATCTTGGGAAGGATTAACTCCCGAGATAAGTTCAATTTCTTCAACAATTGTTGAAGGATGCTGCTCGGGTTCTTTGTCTCTATAATCCCTTTCAAAGGTGTCATCTTGTTGCTCTAGTTTTATAAAATTATGCAGCAAGCAACATGCATTCACCAGTTGGGTAACAACTTCAGGAGAGAACCAACTGGTTTCACGTAGAATGGCCCATCGCATTTTCAAGATACCAAATATCCTCTCTATAACATTTCTTGCAGTTGCATACTTCATATTGAAGTACTCCTCGGGTGTTAATGGCCTATTGCCTCCTCCCCATTCTTTCAAATGATACATTTGTCCTCGGAATGGAGCTAGAAAGCCTTCACAATTGCTATACCCAGCATCAACCAAGTAGTAGTTTCCTATAACATAGAAATTTGATTGGGTAAGAGCTAATCGATAGATTGAGATTCTGTTTATGTTTACTAGGGAATCACTAAGTCGAAGATACCTTTTGAAACTCGTAGCCCATTCGGCCTAGCCAATGCATCTCTAAGAACCTTTCCATCGTGGGCTGAACCCTCCCAACGCGGTACACGGTATAAAAACTAGAGGTTTGGGTTGCGCACTTCGAGAACATTCATTGTGATGTGTCCTTCTCGATCCCGATACCTAGGCGGATCTTCTATCCTAACACGCAGCTTCACATGTGTCCCATCTAGTTCCCCTAAGCAACCCTATACCAAAATAAATATTCCTAATATAAGAGTTCAGCCTAGCTAACTTTGTAATTTAAAAGAAGACAAAGCTGCAATAAATTGTCACCTTGAAAATTTTCCATTTAGCATATGTACACTTTTCAGATATAGCTTGTGGTTGGCGCAGTAAAAGAGGATGAAGTCGGAGAATTGCACGAAGTACCCTATGGATCACTTTGGAAATGGTTTGGCCTGACCGGAAAAAGTCTACTTGGAGTGTTCTATTCTTCTTATTGTGTCCGATTGTAACTAGTAACATCATGACCATTTCATTTATAGCTACTTCATTGGAACGCCTTAACCCTCCCTCATCGACAAGTAATTGATAAAACCTCCTAAACATTCTATGATCCATCCGAATACTATCAATGCAACGTGTATCGAAAAGTTCAAGTACACGTTTCATATAGCGCATTCTATCATATTGTCGGTCAAATATAGTTCTAAAGGGGTGTTTCGAGGTCTGGACTCTAATTTTTCAAAATCAGCAGCTCTAGGAATCGAATAAGCAAAGATACATAAACAAGCAACAAGGTTAAAACTATTTTAATGGCCTTCACAGTGTTTAGCTTCTGCATCTTATTTGATATCCTCCTCAAACGAGCCATGGCCTTTGGTTGAACAAGAAATAAAAGAGTCATTTAGATACCAAATTCAGAGAACATAATGACAATACAACACAGGGGAAGAGATCTAACACAGTGGTTCACTTTCTAGATGCATCTTTCCAACTCCATTTTCCAAACAATACAAAACATAGTGATTGAGAAAGAATCTGAAGAATGAAATAATTAAAGCGACTCATGAAAGCATAACAGATACCAGCAAATTCAGAGAATAAAATAACAATAAAACATAGGGGAAGAGGCACAATATAATACACAAAGGAAGAAAGTAGAAGAAAAGGAAGAAAGTAGCAAAAGATAAAAGAGGCAATCTATTACATAATCAGACACACACAAAGCATTCGCTTTCCCTATAGTCTAGGATTCTTCCAGAGAGGGCCGCAATAAAATCGAAAGAATGGAGGAAGTTAATCTTGTTTGTTGTTGCAGAGATGTTCTCCACAGGCGAGTCGGCGTCAAAGGATTTTCTATGTTGTTGCTGCAGAGCGTCGAAATCGCTTCTCTCAGCTCAAGACCTAGCAAAAGTGTGCTTTTGAGTGCTTCTTCTTTCTTCCCACGATTTTATCCCTTCAATTCGCGCCTCTTCTTTGCATTCGCACAGTTCTTTTTTGCAGAGAGGACAAACGAAAGTAAGCGCAGCCTGGTCATTATTTGATGGATTAAAGTCCATGACCCATTTGCCCACCACTTGGGATCGGAGTTTGAAGTCTATGGGGCCCACGAATTTGGAGCCCCAAAATCCATGGACCCCATGGATTTACTACCCCAATGTCCATCAAACAAACAACTCACTTTCATCAAAGTCCATGACCAACCCAAGTCCATCCTTAAATCCATCTCTAATACCATCAAGCAAACAACCCCTTAGTGAGATTCTGGCTCACCTCTGACTGCTGCTGGTAGCCTAGTTCACCAAGAATGAGATATACACTGTAGTTAAGTTGATAGGGGTCCTTAAGGCGCCAGGCATGGACGAGCATTGAACATGATTTGGTGGAATTTGCAAAATCCTTCTGGCTCAAGCCATCACATGTCCCTCATTGATTGAGAAGTTCTGATCCATTAGTCTTTGCAATATGATGTATAAGATGATAACCAAATATTTGGCGGAGGAATCAAGCCACTCGTGCCTCGGTTGGTGCATGAAATGCATACGACCTTTGTCCCCGGACGACATATTACTGAAAACATTTGTATTTTTCAGGAAGTGGTTTAGGCAATGTGTGTGAAGCATAGCAAGGTGAGATGGTTCTGAAAATTGACCTTGCCAAGGCCTATAATCGTATGAAATGGATTTTTTTTTCGTGATACATTGGTGGTCGTGGGTGCCCCCAATGTTTCATTAACATCCCTATGAATTTTATATCGTCAAAAAGTATGCATATACAATGGAATGGCGGGATTACAGATGCATTTGAGCCATCAAGGGGACTTCGACAAGGTTGGCCCCTTTCTCCTTACATCTTTACGCTACGCAAGGAAAGGCTAAGACACCTGATCTCCACTGCACTGGATGGAGAAGAGTGGAACCGGCATGGCTTTCAAGTTAGGGGCCTCTGTTGTCACACTTTTTTTTCATAGACGAATTAATAGTATTTGGTGTGGCTTCTCTAGAATAATTCCAAACGATCACGTAGTGTCTGGAGGAGTTTGGGGCGGCTTATGAATAGCAAGTAAGAACACTTAAGTTGATAGTTTTCTTATAGACGACTGTGACAATAACATCGAGTGCAACTCTGATTAATGCTCTCAACATCCAAGAAATGAAGGACTTGGGCCGCTAATTAGGGATTGTAGAGTGACACATGATAGGGTATCAAATGCAAATTTCATTGAACTCATTAACAAAAGTGATGCAAGAGTATCGAGGTTGAAGATCAGGTCCCTATCATTGGCTTCTCGGATTAAACTAGCCAAATCAGTATGGTCCTCGCTACCAACTATACCATGCAGACTTCTCTCTTACTGGCTTCTGTCAGTGAGTATATTGATAAGAATATTAAGGTCTTCATCTTGGGCAGCATAGAGCGAGGAAGGAAGATTCACCTGGTTGACAGAGACATTGTATGCAAACCGAAAGAGGAGGGAGGTATGGGTTTCCACAGTGCCACTCGAATGAATGGGGCGTTCATGATTAAAACTGTTTCGTAGTTGCTTACTAAACCTAACAGCCTTTGGGCTTGACTTATAAGAGGAAATTATATGAAGTTAATAGATAGGGGGTGGAGGTCAAGGGTGGGCGGTAAACTGTCTAATATGTAGATGAGTGCTTCATGTTTTGCATTATCTCCATGAAAGAACCATGTAGAACATTAAGAGTGGCATGTAAACATTGTATTGTTTTATCATTCATCACAACCCACGATTGAACCTTGATTTTCTCAAAGCAACATCCCATACATAGATATAATACCACGCAACCAAAACTGACATCAAAAGTGACACGCAATTGAAAGAAATTTATTTTTTCTAGCACTCCTACTTTCGTCACCATTTGTTTCTCAAATAAAGAGCTACACGTTTGTGT